ATATATATATATCCCTAATGAAATGTGAGTGTCGGGTTAGAGCAGAAGTCTCCCCAGATCTGAGAGTATGGTTTCTATGACAGAATCACCAAACAAAAGTGAGAGACAAGAAGGAGAATATCATGGTAAATGTGGCCAGCCAGAATAATGTTCCCTCTCTTCCCCCTTAGATGTCTACGTCCTACTCCCCTAACCTGTGAGTATGTGAGGTTACCTGGCAAGGGGGAATTAAGGCTACTGATGAGCTGGATTTAAAATGGGGCGGGGAAGGGTTCCTGGATTACCGGGTGGGAGAGACAGCATCATCGCAAGGATCCTTACAAACGGAAGAAGAAATCAGAAGACAGAACTAGAGTCGGCAGCCTGGGCAGGACTCGCCTGATGTTGCTGGACTTGAGGATGAGGGCAGAGGCCTACAGGCCAAGAAATGAGGGTGGATCCAGATGCTGGGAAAGGCAAGGAAACCAATTCTCCCTAGAGCTTCCAGAAAGGAATGTCAGCCCTGCAGACGCCTTGATCTCAGCCCGCCAAGACCCGTCAGACTCCTGACCCACTGAACTGTAAGATAATAAATCTGTGTTGTTCTAAGCTAGATGTTTGTGGTAATTGGTTCTAGCAGCAATAAAAAACTGACATAGTAAGCCTGGCAGACGAAGTATTAATTATTACCTTTTTTTAATTTACCATATTTATAATATTTCAGAATCTCTTAAATATATATTCTAGAATCTCCGTACTAAGAATACCTGCTACCTGAAGGCTAACTATAAGCCAGGTGCCGTGCTGAACACCTTACGTGCATTTTCTCATTGAACCCTCAAAGCAGCTTAGACTATTAGGCACGGTTACAGTTTGCCCGGCATATTGTAGGTGTGCTATAAATGTCTGTTGAATGCACAGACAGACGGATGGATGGGCAGGAAAACAGACACTCCTAATAACGGCCGAAATGAGGGAACAGATGGGACAAATACCCCTTCTTAAAAACAAAACGAAGTGAGAAGCCTGTAGTTCCATCTGGCCTCCCTTGAGTGGTGGCCCGAGGCTTAGCTGAGACCAGTCCCCCTCTGCAG